GTTAATGACTAGTCGATGAATTATAGCAAATTATCACACTCATCACATATAATGTAGCCTTACCGCGTTTTAGGTCTGGATTTTGAACATTCATAAAGCCAAAGCTCGTGACTTCTAGATTGCACCACCGGCACAATCGGTTTACCATTCTTTTGACTTAGGCAACGAATTTGAAATGAGGCTTAGCGCATCACCTGATCCTCCTCAACGTCTGTGCAATTAATGAGATCAACCAACATGCGCTCTCTCTCCCTCTCTTCCCCTCTGTATACACCTTAACATGGCTTGCCACACCCCTACATATTCCCCTTTCTTTAAGGAAAACATGGAAGACAGTGACGTAACACGTGGCAGATCAGGGTAGATTCCACTTAGTGATGCTGTATTACGCGAAGTGGGTGGGCATGGCAACAGGCAGGAGGTGAGATATCAGTTATGTTACGTTGCTTAATAACGCAACGTATCATGTGAATCACATCATTTTAATGCCAAGACGTCTTTAGACTCCATTTGACCATTTGCAATATAAAAATCTCACGATGACAGTGGGTAACCATTCGTGTAGTACTGTGCCTGAATTAATGTTTTATGTCGAGTATCACCTACTTTGGGGCAACTTTTAATCTCTCTTGCGAATACGTTACCATATGAGAAGTTCTTGTTATGCCATGCTACCGGTTTATCTCCCACAAATATTGTAGGAATAGATGATCCTTTAACACTTGATGGCTCTACCAACTTCACTCAAATGGAATGAATTTTGTCACCTTAAATCATCGTATCAAGGTGTGATCCCATTCCTACATGAGCATTCAATGAATTTTGAAGGCATGAGTTGGGTCAGCCAGTGCATTAAAGAGAGGGGTCCTTTGTCAGGATCTCTTAATAAAGGCATCATTTTTCTCACTAGATGGTTCAAATTTGATTGAAAATGCTTAATTCAACTATGCATGCCTCCTGCCACTATATCAGACGCCTGTCCTCAAGAACTCTTGGCATCACTCACCAGCGAGACGTGGAGCTCATACACGTTCAGCCGTTGGAGGGTCTGTGGACTGTTCGTGTATGCGTGAAGGGCAAACGGAGGGAGGAAAGTATCTTACCTCCTAACCATTAGCTAATCCAAATTACCTCTTTGTTCAGAGTGTGCTAACACAGCTATTGTGCTTATGCTTACATGGTTCTCCATTTGACTGAACTACTGCACTGAAGGCATGTGTTCTTTCACCTGGAAGCCACCACTCCTTCATTAGTTCATTTATAGGTCCAAATCCACAAGCCTAATCAGTCGCCTATAATGCAACCTATCTGGTTTTGGTGCCGGTCTCCGCTCATGCCATACTACTAACATAAATCTACTTCTTTGATTTGTAGGACCTACACAACAATTCGGAGAGACACTGGACTGTTGGAGTACTATAACAAACATAATGTCGGTTAGTTGGAAATGGCCTGTAAGTTCGCTACTAAGATTAGGTATATGTGGTGTAGACAGATTGGTTAAGCGTGCTACAATGCAATGCAATAAGATACAATACCATACAATAGTTGTGGCATGTTCTTGGTTTGGCGGAGGGAGGAATGGTATCCCCACTTTTTAAGCAACACAACTTAATTAGAGCATCAAAACAACTGGTCTTTTGTGATAAATTCCTCTCTGAGACCTAAACGGCCAACTCTACTCCTCCCTGATATTTGTTAAAGAAGTCACCACCAACTACGTCCTCAAAGCATCGTAAAGCCTCACACACCATCTTGACATTGCGACCCCTGTAGTCTAAAGTAAGTCTTTCCCTGACAAATAATCCTAAAATAAAGTAACCGAGCTCGTCAATTTATCTCACTTCTACCACCACGTTTTACTCGTTGGTGAACATGGTTGATTGTTTGTTGAGATCACTTGTCTGCTTTGTGGGATGGAGAGCGTTGTTCCCTTCTGTTTTTTAACTTACATTCTGAGTGGTCAGTGACTTCAGTACTCCTGTGGTGAGTTGCAGATCAAGAAATCTTTATCATCGGTATTTCTTGTTTACATTAGACGTGTTGTCAATCTCAGTACCTAATTCACCTTCCGTCAATGCACAAACCCAAGGTCTCCAAACCTTGACAAGTAAAGCGTGGACTTATGATTCGGTTTCCGGTGTGAAGGGCCAGGTAGAAACGAACCACGTATACAGACAAAGCAGAGAGCAGCAGTAGATAATTTATTGAGACAGATCCCACACATAACAGCAGGTCGGGCCATATATTTCATGTGCAGCAAACTCCGAACTGGTAATGCGGTCCTGTGTGGTTAAGGTAAACACCGATTTAAATAGTCCTTTAACTAATTCACGCGAAACACAGTGTGAAACGATGAATTTCACTGGGACAGCGACAGACTAGGTGTCTACACACATCAATTGCCGCGGCGCCTCCTCGGATAGGCGAACGCAGGCCCCCCCTGGAGGGTAAACACACCTAAAGTACCAAATACGTATGCCCAGTGGTGATAGGGAACCTAAACTTGGCATTTAATTCCATTCCCCACAGCAGTGTAAGACCCCTCAAATTTCGACTACTTCACACCAGAAATCTTCATGAAGAAGTTACATCTAGGTTTTCGTGACACCTTGATGATCAAACGAGCCTTAATACACCGTCAAATAACTCCACTCCAATTTCACATCCATTTCCCTGAACTATAGGATCATCAAATGAAGGCACTGCATGATATTGCTTTAGTCCGTAAGGCATTTCGCAGATATTATGATCATAAGTTATACATTGCCTTCTAGATCTGTTTTTCCATTTCTGAAGCTTGCAAGACTGCATCCACAAAGTGGGATCGCTTAGCTTCAAAAAACCTTCGACACCACTCCCTGAAAACGGTAGTCGGAAGATGTACTGCCCTTGCTGCAATGGTAAGTGACTCAGTGATTGATATTCTTCTTTTGCCCGTCTAACAATGACAATACTGGCTTGAAGTGGTTGTATCACCGCGTTATCAAACGTGAAATCGTTAATAGGTGGGATGAGGACATAGGTAGGAGTATAGCTGCGCCATTAGATGTCTTGACACCCTCTGTATCTATTTTGCATTTCCACCAACCGAAAAAAGATATTTACTAAACTCAGAGGTTATCATAAGGAAAAATTAGCCTCCATTATTTTGTTGTTCATGCCCACTCTATCTACCCACTTCGCCTACTTAACCACACCTCCAATTTTTGTTCATATCATGTATGATTAAGAGAGGTGCATGATTTAATCCCTCTCACGCGACAACCATGTGACAGGTTCCCTATTTTGGAAATAAACAGAATTTGATTGGCTTCAGAATTTGTCAAAACTAGCCGCCGGAGTAGGCACCAGCCAATGAGAGTGCAGAACCGACAGTCAAATCTTGTCATCACGTGGCCTGGTGGTACAACAACGCCAGAAGCACGTGTGTAGAGCCGTAAGGGTTAGGCCTCGGGTGTCCATAATCGCGATTTTACATGGCTAGGTCGGTGGTGCAGCCATGTCTGGACTGGACTCTAGACACGCACAGTGGCTCGCTGACCCGTCATTGACGGCCCGACAACACAATTCACGCATGCGGCCGTTTATGACTAACGCTACGTCAAATCGACTAAAAATTGAGGACAGTTATCCCTCCAACCTAAGCAGCAAGCGATTTGGCCTGGCCCCAACTCCCCATTGGCATAGCAGTTTTGAAAATGTGACCCCAAAACTGACATCTCAACGGCGTGCAGCAAAGGGCGCAAAGAAAGCTACTACTCGTGCTCATCTGTGCTGTTGTGGCAAGGCAGACCATCATCGATGAGGGTTATGCGGATTCCTTGACAATTTTACTAATCCCACTCCTCGTCGATGCATCAGCCTCAACGAACACGCCAGTAGAAGCCACAATTCAGCCCAGATGAGCATTTACAGCGCTACCGTTTCGCAATGAGTCGAATGGACTCCCTCAACATCTAATCGAGAAGAACGCCATGGCCAAAGGCAACACGCAAAGTTGTAATCGAGATTTGGGGAAGCGTGTGCGCGTGTGTTCCAAAAACAAGCCTCACATCTCCATTCAGACCTCACTTGAAACCACCCTCACTGCAGTATGCAGGGCGCTTCTGTGTCTGAATCAATTTCAGCTGCCAGTGGCAATGAATGTTCGTTCCGATTCCGTGCACCTTATGACTTCAAAAAGCAAACCTCACCGTCTGCACCAACGGCAACGCCTCGCCTTTCCGGCGTATTTCCAGGTTCAATGTCACCGAGCTCATTCAAGGTCAAAGCAAGCACCAACCTTGGGATTGAGAAGTAAATGCCAATTTCATCTAGCTCTTCTCCTTCAAGAATCACGTTTTCATGACTAACGACCTCACAATGATGCATCGCATTTTGGTTGACTGCTCACCGAAATACTGACCCACTTCACATGATCCGTGTGTTTATCCACCAAACCATTCATCTCATGAAAAACGCCATTACGTGGTTTAAGTCTAGTCAAATGGTCTTGATCTCAAACTCCACACGACTTAACGCATTCCCCATCGGTGTCACTTACATTCGACTCTCCGTCTTTCACCTGAGCCCACACGACACCAATGCGTGACAGCTTGTCCCTACCACCCTAAGGTAACTGGTTGCACTAGATCGTATTGCAAGCAGATTTGTCGATCCCACTGCAAGAGAATAGATGTAGGATGCTCCCCAGTTGAGGGTAACTGCATCTCCATTAGTTTGCAAATGACAGTTGAATCGGTTAGAGGGATTGGTGAGAATCGCTGTAGTACTAGGCGAGTGGCACATCTGGGTGATCGTGGTGATTGATTCCTCTCCGACACTCCAATGCTAAACGCATTACCCTTCAATCAATCTGCATCACTTTTCTGTCAACTATATTCAGTGACAATGCCAGTGGCTACCTTGTGCTTACCTGTCCAGACAGGGCCTCTTCAGTCACATCGACTTTTGATGCCTTGCAC